GGGGGGGGGGGGGGGGGGGAGTGGAACGGGGAACGGGACAGCCCAGCAGTGCCAGCGGCAAGGGAGCAAACAGTGTCTGAGTCTGCAGTTGCCTGACAAAACACTGGGTTCTACTGTATGGCTTTCCACTGTTGGCGGGGTAGTGGTGTTTCAAAGAAATGGAACCACAGAGCCCTGCTGCCAATTGGACTCCCCAAACTCACCTCCCTTTGCCCTTGGACTTGGGTCTAAGAGCATATCTATAAACCAAGAACTATTGTAGTAGAACTGCTGTTTTCCTCTGTGAGTATTCCCCAGGAGGGGTGCTTGAGGTTGGGGTCATCATTACAGTGAGGACAAAACAAAACCCACCCCCAAGTAGAGCTGCTACACTGTCTTACAGAAGCTGTGGAAGTCAAGACTGGTAGCTCACAGAGGTAAAAAATCTTGTGATTCAGCTCCATCTACTAGAAAATAGTAGAAAGACCTCTTCATTAATATAGATAATATGAATGTCTAGGCCCGTGGTCGGCAAACTGCTGCTCGCGAGCCACATACGGCTCTTTGGCCCCTTGAGTATGGCTCTTCCTGAGCCTTAGGAGTACCCTAATTAAGTTAATAACAATGTACCTGTGGGTAGCTGGCACGGCCATGGCATACTCAGCTCCAGAGCGTCTTATGTGCCAGGCCAGCTCAGCCTGGTTCAGTGACCCTGAGTTGGGCGGTGAAAGGATTGAGAAAAGACAGACAAGAGAATGAAAGTGGGGTCAGAGTGGAACGCTGCTCCCTGATGAGGAGACAACGCCAGCGCCCACAAGCCATGTCTTTATTTTATAGCAGATGCCACGAGGCAAAGTAGGGGCGTGATCACGTTGTTTACAGCATTCTCGTGAGTTTCAACTTCACTCAACTACATGCACCCGAACTCTATCACGAGGCACGTGGGGCTACGTGTTTGGACCATAGGTTCAAGCTTACAACCACAGCCGTTGGCTATAATTGTGCTGGGAGGGCCCTGCCCTTCCAGCTGGGACTTGCACGTAGCAATGAAAGGACCCTGTTCTTTCATTAGTCCGAGGCTTAAACCTGGCCAAAACACCGAAACCGCGCCCCATATGTACCTACCTATATAGTTTAAGTTTAAAAAATTTGGCTCTCAAAAGAAATTTCAGTCGTTGTACTGCTGATATTTGGCTCTGTTGACTAATGAGTTTGCCAACCACTGGTCTAGGCAAAGGAGAACAACAAACACCATGAATAACCATGGTAATAAGAATGACCAGAAAGAAAATGAAAAACCCAGGAAAGCAAGCTGAAGCACATGGAAATATGTGATATAAATGACAGAGATTTCAAGATTGCAGTTCTGAAAATACTCAACAAGATGCAAGAAAATGCAGACAGGCAATTCAATGCACTCAGAAAACAAATCGATGAACAAAATGAGTACTTTATCAAAGAGATTGAAATTTTAAAAAAGAACCAATCAGAAATCCTGGAAATGAAGCATGAATTAAGGATATTAAGAGTGAACCACTAACAACAAGAAAGACCACTGCATGGGAGAACATATTTGCCAATGTTATCTCAGATAAGGGTTTAATCTCCAAAATTTACAGGAAACTCATACAACTTAACAAAAGGAAGATAAATAATTCAATCCAAAAATGGGCAAAGGACCTAAATAGACACTTTCAAAAGAAGACATACAGAAGAGACATATGAAAACATGCTCCAAGTCACTAATCATCCAAGAGATGCAAATCAAAACAACAATGAGGTACCATCTCACACCTGTCAGAATGGGTATCATCAACAAATCAACAAAAGACAAGTGCTGGCCAGGATGTGAAAAAATAAAAAAAGGAACCCTTGTGCACTGCTAGTGGGGATGCCGACTGGTGCAGTAATTGTGAAAAACAGTATAGAATTTCCTCAAAAAGTTAAAAATGGAACTCCCGTTTGACACCATAATTCTACTTCTAGGAATATATCCCAAGAAATCAGAAACACCAATCAGAAAGGATATATGCACTCCTATGTTCATAGCAGCACAATTTACCATAGCTAAGATTTGGAAACAGCCTAAGTGCCATCAGTGGATTAAAAACTGGTACACTCTAACCGGTTTGGCTCAGTGGATAGAGCATTGGCCTGCGGACTGAAGGGTTCCAGGGTTGATTCCAGTCAAGGGGATGGACCTTGGTTGCAGGCACATCCCCACTGAGGGGTATGCAGGAGGCAGCTGATCGATGTTTCTCTCACATCGATATTTCTAACTCTCTATCCCTTTCCCTTCCTCTCTGTAAAATATCAATAAAATATATTTTTAAAAAACTGTGGTACATCTACACAATGGCATACTACCCTGCTGTAAAAAGGAAGGAACTTTTACCATTGCAACAGCATGGATGGACCTGGAGAGCATTATGTTAAACGAAACAAGCCAGTCAGAGAAAGATAAAAATCACATGATCTCACTCATTTGTGGGTATAATGAACAACATAAACTGATGAACAAAAATAGATCCAGAGACAGAGAAACAGTGAACAGACCATCAAACCTCAAAGGGAAGGCAGAGGACCAGGGGGGAGTTGGGCAGCAGTGTGTGTGTAAGAGACCAACCAAAGGACTTGTATGCATGCATATTAGCATAACCAATGGACACAGACATTGGGGTGGTGGGGGCTTGTCCTGGGTGGTGGGAGTGGCCAGGGAGGGGTCGAGAGGGGGGGAAGGAGACATATGTGATACTTTAAACAATATAAATAAATAAATGTGAACTACTGAGCATATAACACAGAGCCAACCAGATGGAGGAAAAAATTAGTGATATTGAAGATAGGAATCAATGAATGACACAGAGGGAAGGAAAGAGAGACCTGAGCATAAAGAAAAATGAAAGAACTATATGAGAACTATCTGACTCCATCAGAAAAAGCAATATTATAATTATAGGCATTCCGGAGGAGAAAAAGAGGGAGCATGAAACAGAGAGTCTATCCAAATAAATAGTGGATGAGAACTTCCAAAACCTATGGAAAGAACTGGATCATTGAATCCAAGAAGCAAACAGAACACCTAATTACCTCAATCCAAAGAAGCCCTCTGCAAGGCACTTGGTATTAAAGCTGTCAAAAATTAATGACAATAAAAACTTCTCAAAGCAGCCAGGGGAAAGAAGAAAGTGACCTATAAAGAATAACCCATCAGAATTTCTTCCAACTTCTCAGCAGAAACTCTACAAGCCAGAAGAGAGTGGAAGCAAATATCCAAATGTCTGAAAGAGATAAATTACCAGCCATGAATAATATATTCAGCAATATTATCCTTTAAATATGAAGAAGAAATAAAGATGTTCCCAAACATACAGAAACAAAGGGATTTATCACCAGGAAACTTCAATCTCAGGAAATACTCGAGTTAGTCTACCTGAAACAAAGAACATAAGGTCACAACATCATGAGTAAGATCACCAAAAATCTTACAACATAAACAGGGATAATTCGTGGCAACCAAAACATAGGAGGGGGTAAAAGTCTGAACTGTCAAAGGATCATGAAGATCAGATGTACTCAAAAGAAGAAAAAAAAAACTACAGTATATATGCAACTTAGAAAAATCTCCAAACCAGGACACGTAGCTTTAAAAAGAAAAGAAACAGAGGAAAGAACTATGGAATACCACCAAACAAACACAATAGAGAGAAACGCAATGGAAAAGAACCAATGGCGGTACAGAGCCACCAGAGAACAAAAGATAAAATGGCTATAGGAAATCCTCATACATCGCAATTACCCTAAGTATAAATAGTCTGAATTCACCAATAAAGAGGCATAGGGTAGCAGAGTGGATCAAAAAAACAAAACCAACCATATGCTGCCTATAAGAGACACATCTAAGGGGCAAAAAATAAAAGCAGATTCAAAGTAAAAGGATGGAAAATCATTCTCAAAGGAAATAACATCCACAGAAAAGCAGGTGTAACCATAATTATATCTGACAAAACAGATTTCAAGATAGGAAGAGACAAAGATGGACACTTTATAATGATAAAGGGGACACTACATTAAAAAAAATAACACTTCTGCCGAAACCGGTTTGGCTCAGTGGATAGAGCGTTGGCTTGCGGACTGAAGGGTCCCAGGTTCGATTCCAGTCAAGGGCATGTACCTGGGTTGCGGGCACATCCCCAGTAGGAGATGTGCAGGAGGCAGCTGATCGATGTTCCTCTCTCATCGATGTTTCTGACTCTCTATCTCTCTCCCTTCCTCTCTGTAAAAAATCAATAAAATATATTTTTAAAAAAGAAAAGAAACACTAGACCAAATGGACATAATTGGCATTTACAGAAGCTTTCATCCCAGAATATCAGATTATACATTCTTCTCCAGTGCACATGGAACATTTTCAAGGACAGATCATATGTTGGATCACAAAACTAGCATCAACAAATTTAAGAAGTTTGAAATTATACTATGCATATTCTCTGACCATTGTGTCTTGAAATTAGAAATCAACTGCAAAAAGGACCTAAAAAAACCAACAAATACATGGAGAATTAACAACATACTACTAGAAAATGACTGGGTTGAAGAAGAAATAAAAGATGAGATCAAAAAATATAGAGAGACAAATGAGAGTGACAGTACAACATATCAAAACTTCTGGGATGGCCCTAATCGGTTTTGCTCAGTGGATAGAGCATCAGCCTGCGGACTGAAAGGTCACAGGTTCGATTCCGGTCAAGGGCATGTACCTTGGTTGCGGGCACATCCCCAGTGGGAGGTGTGCAGGAGGCAGCTGATCAATGTTTCTCTCTCATCGATGTTTCTAACTCTCCCTCTCCGTCTGTGTAAAAAAAAAACCAATAAAATAAATTTTTTTGTAAAAAACTTCTGGGATGCAGCAAAAGCAATAATGAAAGGGAAGTTTATATCATTACAGGCCTATCTCAAGTAAACAACCTACATCACATCTTAAAGAAATAGAGAAAGAAGAACAAAAGCAACCCAAAGTAAGCAGAAGAGAGGAACTAATAAAAGTTAGAACAGAATTGAATGAAATAGAGAACAGAAAGACTATATAAAAAATTGATAAAACATGAGCTGATTCTGTGAAAAGATTAATAAAATTGACAAACCCCTGGCTAGACTCACTAAGGAAAACAGGGGAAACACTCATATAAACAAAATCAGACATCACAGATATGCAAAGGACAATACTAGACTATTATAAAAGACTATATGCCACCAAATTCAATAATCTAGAAGAAATGGATAAGTTCCTAGAAATATGTAACTTTCCTAGACTAAATCATAAAGAATTGGAAAATATAAACAAACCAATCAGCAGTGAGGACATTGAAACAACCATCAAAAACCTCCAAAAAAATAAAAGTCCAGGATCAGATGGCTTCACCAGTGAATTCTAGCAAACATTCAAAGAAGATTTAAAACCTATCCTTCTCAAACTCTTTTAAAAAACTGAAGAAAAGGTAATACTCCCTAACACATTCTATGAGGCCAATATAACCATTATATCAACACCTGGCAACAATGACACACAAAAAGAAAAGTACAGACCAATATCTCTGATTAATACAGATGCAAAAATCCTAAACAAAATACTAGCAAATCAAATACAACAGTACATCAAAAAAATAATACATCATGATAAAGTGGGGTTCATTCCAGGGACACAAGGATGCTTCAACGTATGCACATCAATCAATATAGCACACCACATTATGCAAAAGAAAGGATATATGCATAAATGCTGTTGGAAACTTTGGGTATTATTTGAATAAAAAATAAATCAATTAATTTTTTAAAATTTTATGAAAGCAAAAGAATAAAGGATGGTTTATTACTCATGATTTCACTCATTTGTGGGATATAATGAACATAAACTGATGAACAAGAATAGAACCAGAGACATAGAAGCATCAAACAGACTGTCCAACCTGTGAGGGAAGGCAGGGGTGAGGGAGTAAGAGATCAACCAAAGGACTTGTATGCATGCATATGAGCAGAGTCATGGTTACATGTTTTTAAAAAAAAAAACCCACATCAATGATTTAATGGTGGTCTGAACCAGTTCTAACTGAGTGTCACATTACAGTATCTCAAATCCTCGAGAGAAATACTATCTTAGAAACTACCCAAGTTGTGACATCTTTCTGTGAATACTGATGAAGGAGAAACCCAGTTAGTAAAGATTCATTGGCATATAACCCACCAAACTCTGGATTTCCTACAGTTCTCACACAATCCACCTCAGACCTACACTGTCTACAATTCCTCAGAGTTTTTAGTGGAAATAATGACTTTGCAACATGATTTAGAAGGAGAGCAGGGGCTGCAGGAACCCTGGTAGAGAAAATAAAAAAGTCACAGATAGATGTAGATAGAGATCTCTGGGATTCATAAAACCAACTAAAAGAGCACCGTATAGAGTGCCTGGTCCAAAGAAAGGCTCCATCCATGATTCTCACTGTTATTGTATTGTCACCATCACTGTTGTTGCCACAAGATAATAAGTGAGTTATTCCATGGCCCCTCTGTTCTCTGCTGCCCCCCACCCCCCACCTCCTGCCATGTCACAGTGAATAGGTTGGGAAGGTGAAAGAGAGGAGGTAGAGACGTTCAGACCTGGTAAAGCTCATGGTTAGTGGAGGGACTCCCTCCCCTTAAGTGTATGTGCCGCACTTCCGTATGAGTGGTCCATGCATTCACGTATGTCAGCCCTCCTCTCTTAATTTGGCAGGTGTCTGTGTGGGTTGGTATATATGTTGGCAGGTTTCCTTAATGTGTCCTGCCCATGCACCTGGGCTCCCACCTTTAGAGACTCGCCTCCCATTTATACAGCACAGCTGCTGGAAGAACAGACTCGGAAGGACTACATTCCTGTTTCCTAAGCTCTTAAATTAGCTTGGCACTTCATTCCTAATTCTCAACCTACAAGCAAGGAATTCCTGACTAAAATAGAAAGCCCTCAATAAATAGTACAACTGACTATGCAACAAAATCACAAAGAGTATTACTAGAGGAATTTATGTCTGTGTAATTCAATTGTCTACATAGAAATCCATGGAAGCTACTGTAGAGCCAGAGGCATGGATGATAGATCCAGTCAGTCACAAAACAGTATGCCCTTTTTAGATTCAGACAGTTTAATACTTACATAGACAATGAAAGTAAGTCTAGTCCCAGGTGCCAGCTGCCTCTGTCCCTTGCACAGGGCGACGTCAAAGAGGTCAGGTGACTGCAGCAGGGATGACAGGACCCTGTTGCTGAGGAGAGAATGCCATCTGTGTCTGAGCAGCTTTGTAGCCTGAAGCTCAACCCCATGGGTGTGAGGTAGGAGCCTCAGACCCGTCATCACTGGGAGACGACAAGGAGAAACGCTCTTAGAACAGATTCCCTGAAGGATAGAGAATCAGTGAGAACATGTTGTGGCAGCTCTTCAGAAGCCTCCCAGGCTCTCCTGTCCTAGGAGGATTAGAGTGTCCTGTCAAAGTTAAGATTAGCTGCACCCAATACTGGCTTATATGTTGACACATGCTGACACATGAAAGTACCAGGAAACTGAAACTAACTCCCTAAATCTCCTTTTAAAAAATTCCTGGAAGTAATCATTGCAATTGAAAGGTTGTAGGATGCAAAGTAAACACACATCAAACTAAAAAGCTTCTGCACAGCAAAAGAAAACATCAACAAAATGAAAAGGGCTCTCACGGTATGGGAAAACATATTTGTCAATGACACTTCTGATAAGGAGTCCATTTCCAAAATATATAAAGAACTTAAGCAACACAACAACGGAAAGACAAACAACCCAATTAAAAACTGGGCAAAGGACCTGGTAGACACTTCTCCAAAGAGGACATACAGATGGCCAAAAGACATATGAACAAATGCTCAACATCAATAATCATCAGATGCAAATTAAAACCAAATGGAGTTACCACCTCCCACCTTTGGGAATGACTATCATCAATAAAACAACAAATAAGTGCTGGCGAGGATTCGGAGAACAGGGAACCTTGTGCAGTGTTGGTGGGAATGCAGACTGGTGCAGCCACTGTGGGAAGCAGTATGGAATTTCCTCAAAAAAGTAAACATGAACTGCCTTTTGACCCAGCAATCCCACTCCTGGAAAATATTTAAAGAGGCACTAATTTGAAAGAATAGCAACACTCCTATGTTCATTGCAGCATTATTTACAATAGTCAAGATCAGGAAACACCCCAAGTGTCCATCAGTAGATGAGTGGATAAAAAACTGTGGTACACTTACACAATGGAATACTATTCAACCATTAAAAAACACACACACAAGGAAATCTTACCTTTTGTGACAGCATGGATGGACCTGGAGATTATTATGCTAAGTGAAATAAGCCAATCAGAGAAAGACAAGTACCATATGATCTCATTTATATGTGAAATCTAATGAACAAAATTAAACTGACAAACAAATAAAGACAGACTCAATACAGCAAACAGACTGAAAAAGGTGGAGGGATTAAGAAAAACACACACAGACACACACACCTATATTGTATTGTGTTCACCACCCTAAGTCACATCTTCTTCCATCACCATTTATCTTCCCTTTATCCTCTTCTCACCTCCACCCACCCATCACCATACTATCTGTGTCTATGAGTTTGGGGGCAGTTTTTATGCTTAATCCCTTGACCTTTTTCACACAGCCTCCCAAACCCCTCTCCTCTGACAGCTCTCATTCTGTTTTCTGTATCTATGGGTCTGTTTCTATTTTGTTAGTTTGTTTTGTTCACTAGATTCCACATATAAGGGAAATCCTAGGGTACTTGTCTCTCTCTAGCTGGCTTATTTCACTTAGCATAATAATCTCCAGATTTATCCATGCTGTCACAAAAGACAAAATTTGCTTCTTTTTTTACAGAAGCAAAAGTAGTATTCCATTGTGTAAATGTACCACGGCTTGCCCTGGACCATGTTGCTAAGTGGTTAGAGTGTCACCCCGAGCACCAAGGGGTCCAGGGTTGGATTCCTGGTCAGGCATACGTACCTGGGTTTCAGATTTGATCCCTTGCCCCGGTCACCTTTGGCGGTCGAACAACCCTTTCACAGGGGTCGCCTAAGACCATCCTGCATATCAGATATTTACATTACGATTCATAACAGTAGCAACATTACAGTTGTGAAGTAGCAACGAAATTAATGTTATGGTTGGGGGTCACCACAACATGAGGAACTGTACTAAAGGGTCGCAGCATTAGGAAGGTTGAGAACCACTGACTTAGAGGCACTTGGGTTGTTTCCAAAATCTTGGCTATCCTATATAATAAAAGCCCAGCAACCAAACAGTGGAACGACCAGAACAATCAGAACGACTGGTCAGCCAGTCACTATGTTGCTCACTGACCACCCGGAGGCAGACACTCAATGCACCGGTGGTCAGTGCTCTCCCACAGTGGGAGCGTCGCTCAGCTGACTGCAGCAGGTGCAGCCACTAGACTGACCCCACCAGTGCACGAATCCTGTGCACCAGGCCTCTAGTCTACACTAATAAAAGAGTAACATGGTAATTGGCATACGACCACTACCCTTCCCATTGGCTAATCAGCGAGACATGCAAATTAACTGACAGCCAAGATGGCAGCTGGCAACCAGGCAGCTTGAAACTAACAGGAGGCTTGCTTGCCTCAGTGACAGAGGAAACCAACAGTTCCCCGCCTGCAGCTGCAGGCCTCTGAGCCTGCAGTTTAAGAAACTATGTAACAAATCCCTCCAGACTTCAGCCAGCAGGATCGCAACATTGTATGCAAAGGCCAGAAACCTGCTTTCAGCAGCGGAGGCCTAAGAGCGGGAGCCAAGCCTCAAAGCTAAAGCTGGCCCAGAATTTTTTTTAAAAAAAAAAGAAGGGAAAAAGGAGTGGTTGGGAGCTTCAGTCACCCCCCAGCCGGAAAACAGCCCTCAGCCCCTCACCCAGACTGGCCAGGCCCCCCAGTGGGGACCCCCACCCTGATCCAGGACACCCTTCAGGGCAAACCAGCCGGCCCTCACCCATGTACCAGGCCTCTATCCTATATAGGAACAGGGGAATATGCCTCCCAGCACCGGGATCAGAGTGACAGAGGGCAGTACCCCAACCCCCTGATCGACCCTGCTCTGAGCCCGACCAGGGGCTGCATCTAGGGATTGGGCCTGCCCTCTGCCACCCGGGAGCAGGCCTAAGCCAGCAGGGCGTTATCTCCCGAGGGGTCCCAGACTGCAAGAGGGCACAGGCCGGGCTGAGGGACCCCCCTTCCCCCCCCAGTGCACAAATTTTTGTGCACCCGGCCTCTAGTTGTAAATAATGCTGCAATGAACACAGGGGTCCTTACCATATTTTCCCGTGTATAAGACAATCCCATGTGTAAGACACCTCCCACTTTTCCAACCCCAAATTAAGAAATCAATATCTTAAACATTTTGCTGGTTTTCCTCTTAAGGTCTTCTCTTTGTTTGGCATCTTAAGGAGTTATTCTTCCTGTTTTCTCCACTGTCTGATCAATGGGAGGAGGTCCAAATTGTCTCTCTCTCTGCAGCTCTACCAGTATGTCCCTGCTCTTTGGCATAGCTGATTACATTCAGTTTGAAATTTTCAGAGTCAACAATCACTTACCGGTATTTATCTTTTTATTTTTTGACATCTTCATGGGCTCAGAAAGCTTCAATCCCTATTGCATCTGCGCACTCTCCAACTCCATATCCAATTATAGCATCAACTGACGTCGGTAACAATAAGGCTCATGATTGGAGGAAGCCTGTTTGACAAGGTATAGGCAGCTACACACCGCAGGGCTCTCTCCTCCGCTGACTTCCAGACACCCCTCGATTTTCAGTCTAATGATTTCAGAAAAAAATAGTGTTATGTTATACCTTAAATACGGTATATTCTTTCAAATTAGTGTTTGGGGTTTCTTCATATATATTCCCAGAAATTGAATCACTGGGTCATAAAGCAGTTCCTTCTTTATTATTTTATTTGTTGGTTTTAGAGAAAGAGGGAGAGGGAGAGAGAGAGAGAGAGAGAGAGAGAGAGAGAGAGAGAGAGAGAGAAACTTTGATCTGTTGTTCCACCCATCCATGCATTCACTGGTTCATTCATGTATATGCCCCGACCAAGGATCAAATCTGCAGCACTGGAGTATCAGGATGATGTTCCAACCGACTAAGCTACCCCACCAGGGCTCCATTTTTAATTTTTTGAGGTAACTCCATACTGCTTTCACAGTAGCTGCACCAATCCGCACTCCCACCAACAGTACACAAAGGTTCCCTTTTCTCCACATCCTAACCAAAACTTGTTATTTGGTCATTTATTGTTGATAGCCATTCTGACAAGTGTGAGGTGAGATCTCATTGTGGCTTTACTTGGCATTTCTCTGATTAGCGACATTGAGCATCTTTTCATATGTCTATTGGTTATCTGGATGTGTTCTTTGGGGAAGTATCTATTCAGGTCCTTTGCCCATTTTATAGTTAGATTGTTTGTTTTGGTATTATATTGCATGAGTTCTTTATAAATTTAGGCTATTAATTCCTTATCAAATGTATCATTGGCTAATATGTTCTCCCATTCAGTGGGTTGTCTTTCATTTTGTTGATGGTTTCTTTTGCTGTGCAAAAACATTTTAGTTTGATGTAGTTCCATTTGTTTATTTTTTTCTTTTTCTTTACTATATTTGTGTTGATTTCAGAGAGGAAGGGAGAGGGAGAAAGAGGTAGAAACATCAATGATGAGAGAAAATCATTAATCGACTGCCTCTTGCACACCTCCTACTGGTGATTGAGCCCACAACCTAGGCATGTGTCCTGACTGGGAATTGAACTGTGACCTCCTGGTTCATAGATCAATACTCAACCACTGAGCACACTGGCCTAGCTGTCTATTTTTTATTTTGTTTTTCTTGCCTGGGAGGTATATTAGAAAAAATAGTACTATGAGAAATGTTCAAGATATGCATGTTTTCTTCTAGGATTTTTATGGTTTTGAGTCTAACATTTAAGTCTTTAATCCATTTTGAGTTTATTTTTTATATGGTGTAAGAAGGTGGTCTGGTTTCTTTTTCTTTCCCTTTCTTTTTTTCTTTTCTCTTCATTTTTCTCTTTCTTTCTTTCTTTCTTTCTTTTTTTTTTTTTTGCATACATCCGTCCAATTTTCCCAACCTCATTTATTGAATAAACTATCTTTATGCTATTGTATGTTCCTGTCTCCTTTGTCAAATATTAATTGATCATAATGGTGTGGGTTCATTTCTTGGCTCTCTATAATCTTCCATTGATCTATACTTCTGGGGGTTT